CCTATTAATATAGGCAAAATTACAAAAAATGATGACATTCTTTTTGTCCACAAAGTTAAAGACAATTACATCCTATCTAAGTGGGTTAGTACATAGCGTATTTAGTTGATCTGATTTCCCCCATTCAAATGGTGCTTGATCTTGATGCTATCAGAAACCCATCTGAGGCTCTGATTCTACCCCTAAAATGTGACATTCCTGAAGTTGCTAGTTTTGGAGAAAACGCCATTTATGTAAAAATTTGAAAATTATTAAGTACTTTATAAAAATAATAAATAGATTTTTTCTTTTCAAAAATTGGTGCTTAATCTGGATGCTACCAGAGACCCAGTTGAGGTTCTGATTGTACCCTAAAATTTTGAACTGCCAGAATGATAAAATTCCGCTCTGTAATTAGACGGAGTTTGAATTTCTGATCCAAAAGCTATATCGACTGCTTTCAATGAATACTTCGCTTCGATGGGAGCAAAACTTGCTAGCAAATTGGAAGGAGACGAGGCTGTCGTTCTATCTACAAATGCCAGTCAATCAATGTACTTTTTCAGTTGCTCATTCACTGAGACCTTAATTGCCCTAAATAGTCTCAAACCAAAGCTTTCTTGCGGCCTTGATGAAATAAGTAATATGTTAGTGATTAAAGGCTGTTTTGTCTTTGCTCCAAATTCAACATATCTAATCAACCTGTCGTTTAGCGAAGGTACATTTCATCAGGCGCTTAGTTATGCTACAGTTTTGCCACTATAAAACTGATATTAAGTTAGATCTTAACTACTATCGTCCGATAGCTCTTTCGAGTAGCTGTGGCAAAGTATTTGAAAAAATCATGCTCTCCAGGTTGTAGAATTACCCTGAGAAGTTCAAAATCATTTAAGAGCGTCAATTCGGATTTCGGAAAAAATTTGCAACTATCGATGCTTTAGCTGAATTAACTGAACGACTAAGAATGGTTAAAGGCAAAAATATCAAATGCAGTTTCTTTGTTGCTTTAAGAAAAGCATTTGATACTCTTGATATCAGAAGTCTGTTGAATAAACTGGAAAATTTTGGTGTCAGGGGTAATTGATTGTCTTTCTTGGTTTAATTGTTGTTTATTTCAAAGGTTTCAATGTTTTCATGCAAACAACTGCTCGTCGGATTGGTTACCACTGAACACGGGCGTTCCTCAGGAATCTTTTTAGGTCCTCTTTCCTTTTTAGTTTAGATAAATGATATGAATCACGCTACATCTAGTTCAAAAGTTTTCTGTTTGCTGGTGATACAAATGTAGCACGTGAGAGCGCCAATTTTGAATTCTTCCATCTTGATCTAACATAAATTTCGGCATTGTTGAAATCAAATAAATTAATCATTAATTCTGACAAAACAAAATTAATCAGATTTGAAAAAAATTGAAGTGCTTCTTCCTTTAATGTTTGTTTTGATGATATTGTTTATAAACACATACCGTCGTGTACGTTATTGGGCTAAGTAATTGATAATAAGCGTACTTTTATACATCATGTCCAAAAATTAAAAACTGAATTAGGGAGGCATTGCGGTGTTGTTTCAAAAAAATGAGGCATTGTTTCGAAGTGTGGTTTACTAAAATACTATAACGCTAATATAAAGCTCATAGTACATTATGGCTTGCTTGTGTATGTTGGTACTAGTTTTTCGTTTTTGAATCAAGTTCTATTGTTACAGCGGAAAACAAACAGTGATATTTTTCAAAAGAAAATTAGGCTTTATAACCAAAAGTTTCTATGATGATAAAAATTTTAACTGTTCATGAGCTTTGTTTATAATCTACTGAAGTTTTGCCTGAGATGTTCATATCCGAATGTAAAAACCCGAATGAATATCTAAATTCTTTGCTTTCATTAAAAACATCCGTTTATAAAACAAGGAATTGGGGCAAACTAACCTATTCACCCCCGTTCTGCAAAAATAAAATTAAGTTGTACTCATTGTTTAATAGGGGTTCAAAGTTGCTTAATATGTTGAGCGGAAGTAATCTTCTGCCTATTAATATAGGCAAAATTCCAAAAATTGATGAAATTCTTTTTGTCCACAAAGTTAAAGACAATTACATCCTATCTAAGTGGGTTAGTACATAGCGTATTTAGTTGATATCATTTCCCCCTTCAAATGGTGATTGATCTTGATGCTATCAGAAACCCATCTGAGGCTCTGATTTTACCCCTAAAATGTGACTTTCCTGAAGTTGCTAGTTTTGGAGAAAACGCCATTTATGTAAAAGTTTTGAAAATTATTAAGTACTTCATAAAAATAATAAATAAATTTTTTCTTTTCAAAAATCGGTGCTCAATCTGGATGCTACCAGAGACCCACCTGAAAATCTGATTCTACCCCGACAATATGACCTTCCAGAAGTTGCTAGTTTTAGAGAAAACGCCATTTTGTTTAAAAAAAAACGCTAAAATTCAATTGCTTATCTGTTTGATATTTTTTGTAAATGTATTTGTATTTCGGAAGAAATAAATTCTTTCTTTCTTTCATGTCATGGCATGGTCTTTGGCATGTTTGTTTGCTCCTTTGTGTGTTTTAACAGATGCGCCTTGTATTTTTGTTGACTAGACTTTGACATTGCTCTTATATCTGTTTGGTTTTCACAGATCCCTTTTTTTTCTTCTAATTCACCACTTAGCCGTCGCCCCTTCCGCTGCTACCCAGGGGGACGACGTTGCCACAGCTTGCCGGCCCCGTACGAATGCTTGAGAAAGCCGACCACGCATTTGGGTCGGGGTCTGGATGTTGTGTGTTCGGCTATTGCCCGATAGCGAGCGGACAGTCGTCGGCGGTGCCGACATCTAGATCATGGTTTGTCGGTACATTGCACCCCGTCTTCGGTTATTGTTTAGGGCTGCCCTGTGCGCATAACCGTATCCACACGTCGGTCATTTGTATCCATCGGTTGAAGTTTAGCCTTTCATATGCAGATAAAGTCCATTGTTTTTTTTCGAATGTTCTTCCACAAAATTGGCAGGTTTTGGATTTTGTGCAGCGCTGATGGTGTATTTTTGCACTTTGTTTTGTTTTGTAGACAAACTTGCAATTTGATCAGATTGAGCTGACTGCTGGCTCTGGTTGCTTTCCCTTAAGTTGAAGTTGAGTTGGTTGTTGTGTGGTTTGAGTGTTGTTCCCTAATCAGACCGTTATTCCACTTGGGGTGTCTTCTTTGTGGTTTTTTGTTGGTGTTCGTGGTGTCGCGAGTGCCGGAGGAAACTTTACAGTACCGGCTCATGTGGATTCTCACACCGGCAGAGTTTTTCAGCAATTTTGCAGTTAGGACATTGTCTGTCGAGATCTTTCTGTGACAGGGTGGTGGGGAGCGCGGTGTGGATTCTCTTATGTCTTTTGAGTTGTGTTATTTCTCAAACTGTTGTCGACATTCGCAGTTGAAGCATCCGTCTTTAATGTTTGCATCAATTGAGAGTTGTTGTCGGGCACGTTTCCAGGTTTTCCGGCTCTGTGCCTGGAGTGGCCAGTTCTTGTCGCTGATGCCTGGCATGGCCCTTGCCACTCCTTGGTAACGGTTCATGATCGTTTTCTTTGTGCATCATCGGGTTTTTTGGTTCTTGTCTTTTTTTGACCAAGCCAAAGATGCACTGGATAGGAGTTCTCTCAGGTTTCATCCGTGCGATGTGGCCCATCAGTCCTGCTGTTCTTGTTTTGCTGGTTTTCGGATGTCGGGGAGTCCAAACTCATCCAGCAGATCTCGTTGTCTTACATGAAACTCTTCATTGACTTCAAGCACCCGTACCAGAATCTCCACTGTAGTTCTGCTTGTGGGCGTGTGATGGTCTTTGCCTCAGCATCCTAGAGAAGGGTGTTGTCGATGCATGTTGAAAAGATCCTGCCCTTTGTGGTGGACGACAGGTTAGATTTCCAGACCTCTCGTAGGCGACCGAAGGCTGCTCCCGCTTCGGACATGTGCCGGCGGGTGTCCACCATTGCCCCATAGTTATTCGTGTTCTGATTTTTTAGTGTGCTACCAAGGTATACGAATTCAGTCACCTCGTTGATCTCCTTGCTTCTAATAAATGAGACCGCAGTCCTATTTCTTGAGCACTTCAGTGTTTGCGGGTTTAGTCATCTGATCCGCCAGGCAGTACCAATAGGGGTAGATTTTCACACCTGGTGCATTTTCAGAATTTTGTTGCATTTCGAACATTGCCTAGCGGCTCCTTTACCGAGTTTGTTTCACTCAGTGAAAATCGCGTTTCAATCACCAGCCAGATACAAGAGATCATACCAGATCACGCTGATGTGGTATGCTCTCTTGTTGTATAGCCGTTGTTGGTTCTACCGTTGTATTGTGAATTCACTCATGTGGCCATCTAAGTCGCTTTCCGTGTAGTTTGATGTCTTTCCTCGAGCGTTCCTAGGGTTGCTATTACGGTAAAGTTATTTCGTTTGTATGGTTTCAATATGGTAAATTTAGCTTGTATGGTTTCCCAGTCATTACGGCAAATTTATCTTGTTGTATGGTTTCCCAGTCATATGCTATGGTGAGTCACCCAAATTTTCTCTTCCTCGGTACTTGGTTTTTTCCTCAGGTTGTATCTGATATTAAGAGCTCGATGTGTAAGTTCTTTTGCTTCAAGCATGTTCACTTAAGCGTGTGGCCACATCCCTTGTCCGGGTCTAGGACAACAAGCCGACGGGACTTCAAGTTTAAGGGACTTGAAGCCGAAATTTAAACATTACAAGCAACCCAAAACGCTAAAATTTCATCAGTAAAATGTTGACTTCCAAAAATGTAGGAAAGTGTTCCGAATATTCGACAAATTTTTGGTTATTATTTTACTAGATCATAAACATAATTATTACACGAATTAGTAAACAAAATTAACTGATTGAAGAGATTGTTTGTTTTTGCGAGTTTTCCCTTTACAGCGATATAGACTATTTTGCTGGATGTAAATTGTATGGTCGATAGTTTTAACGTCCGTTGTACTTTAGAGAAGTTGTGAGCATCCATATTATGTTTCAGATCAAAATGAATCCCTCTTCAAATGGCGAAACAATCCCGACAAACAAACTATCTCCGGAAGCTTATCTGAGAAAACACCATGTGCTGACCTATCTTGAAGACGCCCTATCGCAGATGGTACTACAAGAAAACATTCCCAGATCCACAAACGAAAGTGCAAAATTCCTCTCCGAGTATTTCTCGTCAGTGTTAACTGAGAACCATGTCATGTTCCGAGGCATTGCATTTGTATCTGCGACACCGCATAACAGGCTGGCGTTCTTGAAAGGAGCGAGGAAAAGTTATCAGCATCTGCTGAAATCAAACCAACAGCTGTCAATTCAAGTGAGAGCGTAGTTTTGTTGAATAGTTTCAAGTTACATCCAAAGAGTAATAATGTTTTGTCGAGGAAAGTGACCGCAAAAGTATACTTTGGTGGTTGAATTTTTGGTCAATTGTCTTGCGGAGAGAAATTTATTTTTACTATGCATATACACGTAGTTATAGTATCGTAAAGCTTAAAAAAGGCAATTGAGAAATTTTCCAAATTAAAGCTGCCAGAACCATATCGACTATCACGAGCTAATTGAAAAAATAAAGGAAACATTTTGGCATCAATTTAGTAAATTGTTGCATCATGTAAATTTTACTGTATTTTAGGAAATTCATTCGCTCCTGCTGCTTTTGTGCGCTGACATGCCAATAGAGCTAATCCAGAGATCTTTCCTCAACTCTGGACTCACTTTCGCCCAACCGACTGCATTTTCCTCCTTTTTGACAAACTTTGAACTTCAATTCTTCCTGGATGAGTTTCTGACAGACTCGATTAAGATTTACAGGACTCTTCAAGCAATGAATAATAGTCATATGGGATCCAGTGATCTGTCGGGACCCGGTGGATCTCGGCCCGGGTCTGCTGCTAGTACGAGCTCGTTGTCAAAGGGCTCCTCGACGTTGACCAATGCGGACTCTGTAGACTCGACAACTTTTCGTGACCGACTCAAACAGCTAGGTTAGTACTCTTTTCGCTGATTTTTTTGCTGTTCATTACAATGATATTGTTACAATTTTTTTTTGAATAAAACCCTCATGTTGTCAAATGAGTTGAGATATAACGATCAAATAGAGATAATATAGCTACCGTGGACTATACTATTGCCAAACTCTGTATATCCTTAGTTGTAGTAGTCTGTAGTTCAAAAAAGTACCTGATCCATCATCGCCACAAAATCCAATAATCCAAATCTACTTAAAACGCGAATAACGTTCTGACAAGTATATTTTGGAATTGGCACAAACCGTATTCAATTGGCATAGGTTTTTTAATCGTATTGTTCTATCTTCAGTTTTATCAAGTGTTACAAAACAAGTGAAGAATGTTTTTTTTAATGTTTTTCAGGAATGATTCACTCTCAACTTTTTTTTGAGATTTGAAATTTGTTTTTGAATTTAAAAATTGCACAGATTCAGTACTCTCAAAATTGCTAGTCTTATCAAGAAAATGTCAAACAAATGATTTTTGTGATGTTAACAGCTTTAAGAGCAAACACTGTTTTTGAAATCAAACACTGTTTTCAGTGAGCTCATAGAATCTATTCAACGTCTATTGACTACGTTTTTGTTTTGAGCAGTTGTATCTTTTTCAGTTCATACATCTAAGTGCAATTACCCGATGCCAGCTATGCCCGCGCTGGATGAGGCATTTGGCTCTTTCCAGGACCACAGCCGGATCAAGTTCTCACATTTCTTCAACCGGCTGAGCCAAACTAGATACATTCAAAGTTTACTGAGTTCTGATGGAACAAATTTGAGTGCATCTAACAGAAACTTTACAGTTGAAAATTAAGGCAAAGAATAGTAAAATCATTACAAACACTTCCAATCATTGTTCTTTTTAAGTGTCGATATGGACTTTAAGTTATGTACATATCATGCTAGTTAGGATATATCTTCTTCATAATGTACATTTTCTTCATAATTTTGTAAATAATTCGACAGGAACTGAAAAATTAAAATTTCAGTGTTTTTTTAACCTCTAATGAGATTGAGTGTCAAAGAAAGTAACGGAATATTTGTCCTCAGAGTGGTTTTTTCTTTAGACAACATGCACTCTCTAACGGATTTTTTTTCTTCAGTCCGAAAGAACTTTATGCACAGCTCAAAATGAAAAATGCTTCTGGCGTCAAGTTTTGTAAAACTTATTGGGCTTGAACGTTGCCATTTGGATAGTCAATGCGTGTTATTGTTCCGATTTTCATAACGAAAGTAACGGAATATTTGTGCTCGGGGTGGGTTTTTTTTCTTCAGACAAATTTCGACTTTTTATCTAGCCATGTTTGACGGATTTTTTAAATATCATTCAAAATCTATTGTTGTCCTCAGCTTAAATTTGAAAAGATATTTCACCTGTGATCATTTTTCGTAAAATTATTGGGGTTTAATGATTGCAATTTGGGATAAATAACGCGCGATATATTTTGCGCTATTAACGCGTAGGCGAGATTTATTCCGTCTTAGAAATCGTTCCAAATTGGTTCAAGGAAGCTTATATGCCATAATTGATTTGTTATTAGGAGCAAAATCGATCACTTTGTACTTAATATGTCGTGTGGGGTGATGTTTTCTCAACAAATCTCAAATTTTTTTTTGAAAACATTTTTAATTTTATCTCATTACATTCAGATTTTTCATGTTATTACTGCTCCATAGACCTTAAAAGGCAGTCGGAACTTCCAATGCTTCGCCATGATACGAGCAGTCTTGTTTATCTAATACCGCTTTGCGCAAGCGGCAATTTAATATGGCTGACAAATAAACCATTTTTCCCCAAAACTGCAACTAAGGTGGGAACAACTAAGGTTTTAGTCTGATATAAGTAGCGTTGTTATACTTTTATCTCAATCAATATTTTCAAATGTATTAAGTAAATTTATTGTAGTAAACCACGCGAGCATAGTGTCATATTACAAAGTCCGTTTTTTACCAACCCAACTAGCTAATAAAAGTGTTCGTTTGATGTCATTACATCGGAAGTATAGCAACACCTATTCTATCTGCTAGATTGGTGGCTAGTATTTGTGATCGAGGAAGCGTGATAATCTTAATCATCAGGTCAGAGGTTCGAAACCGTGTCAGTAAATTTTTAAGGCTTGCTGTACTGCTCTATCTGCTATATTGGTGGCTAGTGTTTGCTTTTGATGAAGCAACCATGCCCAGTCACATCAGGTGTTTTGTAAAACGTACCTCGCTGCAGGAGTAAACATTTTCGATACAACATCATTTGACTTTTCCAACCTACGTCAGAATTTACATGTTAAGTTATTGTCATTAGATAAATTTTTATCAGGCCGTTTTGAACATTATCGCGAACACCGAAAATTAAAATTCGCTCAGTATTTATCATTACTCCACTGTCGAATAAACAGAAATCAGAATTTTCCGTCGTCTGTTTCTGGCGGTTAAGAGTTCTGTTTATTGCTGCACGGTTGGGCAAGGATAATTGAACTGCTTTCACATCTGTTGTTTCCTGGAGACAAGTGGCAATTATACTGCTATTGACAGGTATAATTTGCTGCCTGGCCTCTTTTTTCAATTGATGCATGATCTGGTTTGCCTCAATTTTCCCAGGTCTAAGATCGTGGATGTTCTCATTTTTTTGACGGCGAGAATGCGGCATTTGTGTTAACTGTATCTTGCGCGTCTCTAGTGCTCAGTAGTTTTTGACGTTTGCTTTTTTGTGTGAAATCTTGTCCGTCAATAATGAGCGTTCGTTTATTTCGTCGAGATGCACTTGCTGGTCCTCAATTTGAACATCAAAAAATCAAGTAAAAGTGTTAAGTATGGGACAAAACGGCATAGGACAAAACGGCATAGGACAAAATGTCATGTGAGGCAAGTTGGCATAGGACAAGTTGCCATGTAGGGCAAGTTAGTATAGGACAAGTTGGCATAGGTCCAATTTTTTGGGGCATATAGTCTTGACACCTGCGAGTTTATGTGTAAAAGTAGGTATCTGATGTCAAAAAAATTTCTGCATTCAATTTTCATTTACTTTCATTGTTCAAAATTTTTTTTCCAGCTATCGGCAAAAATTGTGCAACATGAGCTACAGTGCTGATTTAAATTAGAAAAGGATCATTTTAAATCGAGAAAATAATCAAGACAATCTTTGATTTATCTTAGCATAGTTAAACTGGTGCAAATTGTTTTGTAAAGCTTGGACACAATTTCACAAAGAAATTGGGAGAGCTGGTGTGATCAGCTTACTCGGCCTTAAAATTTATCGAGCAACTACACGAATTGAAATAGCCGCTTCAAAAAAACTTTAGGTCTGCTTCTGGTGCAGTGCAGTTTCAGTTAAACAATTTGTTTTAACAAATCCACTTGAATCTTTTGATAACTTGACTTATAAAAAAATTAAAAGATACCGATTCGAAGTTCCTAGCTAGCTTCTACGGTACACTTAGCCTGGAGACAACGACCACGCGTAAGATGGTAAAAATTTTGGAATCGAGTCGCGCGCGATCTGTTTTTTTTTCTCCGACTTTCTGCTGTATGTCAAGTTGCCACATCACGGAAATTTCTTCTACTTAAAATAATTTCATTGTGACTGATTGTGTTTGATTTTTTCCTGTAAATTGCTAACCACAATACACCTACTTTTGTATAACTTTTTGTTTTTTTTCCCTGCTTTTTTTCGGCTTTTATGGTTTTTGCTTATTTTATTACGGCTTAGTGGTCCAATTTTGCGTCTTGGGAAAAGTAAAAAACTTTTAGTTAAGAACTTTTATGAAATTTTGGTTTTATGCTTAACTCAGAACTTTCTAAACGGCGTTAATTTATTGCTAAAAAGGGTTCCTTCCAATTGAAAATCATTCAAGACAAGCACTAGGATTTTTCCTAATAATAGTTTTTTTGACTGCATTGAAAAATTTGATTTAGTGGCTTGCTTTTCATTTTCGTCTGCAGTCTGTCAATGTTATTTTTGTGTATATTGTAAGTGGTGCGAAGTTCATCTGTATGTACATTTTTTATCGAGTTGGTTTAATTAGTTTAATTTTTTAATCAAAAACGCCAATCATAAAAGATTCTTGCATTTAATATAGTTTTGAGGTCATGCATTTCTGGAAATGCTGCAAGAAACAGGTTTTGTTTTGATTATTTTAAACGCACAATGAACTGCCCAACTGTTGCTTGAGTATGTTTTCTCGGAGTGTTTTTGCTTCTTAGTGTAGCTTTTGTTACATAGATTTTAATTTCTAAAGCTTCAATGGATTGATGTATTTTTCAGTTATGTTTTTTCTGTAGGAAATTGTGCAATTAGAAAATTGCATTTTTTATTTGCCTTGACTTTCTTTTCGTGTTATCTGTTACCTATTTCTATTACCAAACATAAAAAACATCAGAAAGCATTACTGAATTTTACAGTTATCAACAAACTTAAAGGCTCCCAAGATTTGGGCGAGTTCTTTGAATTCATTCAAAGTATAATTGACATAGGCAACTTGCTTCAAGACTTCGCTTTCCTTGCAGTAAAGAGTCGAATCTGAATGTAGGGTGGCTTGTTTTTACTGTATTTCTTGATTGTGACACACACCCTCCTCATGTTATATGTTGCTCTTTTGTATACTCTATTACAGATGTCGAGCACGTGATCCATAGCTGATTTTTTGCCAGATTTGGCTTCATATAAAGGTTCGAGTTCAAAGTTTTCAGCATAATGAATAACAGTATTCCGCATTAATGATACCCTCTCTCCTTCTTTTTCTCAAAGATAGACATGCTGCAATTTTTCGAATTGTCCCGATTCATTTTTCTGGAATAGTTGAATCTCAAATGTAATTGGGACTGGAGTACATTTTTGATAAGCAAACTGATCAGATGAGGAGAAATGAGAGAAATGATTTTGAGATTGAATGAAAAATGAAGTAAACAGTATGAGTCATCATGGTTTCCATATATGGAAGTACTACCAAAATGGAATGTTTTGTAGGAAATTTCCATAAATAAAAATGGTGTTGGCGTTACTTCTCCTACAAGAATCATAATTCTCGAAAAAAAATTTTCTTCCGGATGGCAGCTACTATGTGCCAAGCTCTACCCAGCTTTTATTCAGAATATAAACAAAACTCTTTATTTGTTTCTGTTGGCAAGCAATAGTAACGCAAGATTATTGCTTGTCGACTCACGACTCTGTTTGTTTCTTGGAGGGTGGCCAGTTCCATTTAATGTTTATAGGAACCTCTCCCGATCAAATTTTTAGGAGTTTAGATAAATTTCAGTAAATTTATCAAGAAATTGGCACTTTGTACAAACACAGATATTACACAAGCATTGTTCCATTGAGCGGAGAAGTGTTCAATTAGCTTAAATGAGAAGTTCAACAAAACTTGAAAAGGACAAGATAAAACACCAAGCCTTGCAAGGAAACGAATCGTTTGGAAAAAATTCATAAGACAAAATCTAAGTTCTAGACAAAATTTTGCATTGACCCAAACTCTTGGTTCACCGTTTATGTACAGAAACAGAAAAGTTCAAAACTCAAAATTTGAACCTGATTTGTCGAAAAAAAAATGATTGTTTGATTGATGATAATGGCTCTGTACATAGTGATCATGTAAGCTTTGTGATGAAATAATAAACCTATTTTATATGTTCTTTTAGTTTTTGCTGTGCTAAATCTTTATAAAAACAAAACTTTGCTCAGAAAACTTCAATTAAAAATGAGAATAAAAATGCCTTATACATGCAATTCATTTTCATGTTTGTGTCATTTTCTTTCCCATGTGGCACACCGTGGTTTCTTCTCAAAATACTTAGTTTAGCCTGTTAAATGGGTTCTTCCAGCATTTAGAAGATTCTATTGTAAAACTCTAGTTGTTAAGTGTAGATTCTAGAAGTTGACGACGTCATTTTCTCTGTTAGAAATTTTCATTGTTCTATGGAACTTTCTTAGCTCAGTTGTGATTATTTCACAAACATGTTACCAATTTT